AGGTTCCGCCGTTGCCCCGTTCCGATTGGATGACCAGGATGAAAAGCCGGAACGCCGACCTCCTCTTTTCCTCTCCACCCTATTTTTATGTACCTTTTGCCTCTTCATGGCTCGAAGGCTCCCTTCGAACGCTACCGCCATCTTTCAGTGCATCGGGAAGATGGAGATACGTTTAATACAACGACGAAACGTAAAAATATAACGAGCAAGAACTGTTTGGTTCCTCCGATCGGCTCACGGTAAGCTTTTATATCCGTGCGTTTGCGATGAAAGCTCACCGATGTTCTCGTGTCCCGTGAATTTTTACATTTTCATTCCATCCTGAGTAGTTCCGCGAGGAACACGGGAGATAGAGCCTTTCCCACGGACGACGGATGTTCCGGGCAGTGGTGGCAGGTGTGAAAAATTTCCTTCCATCGTTTGCAACGGATTCGGACGACCATCGAATCGAATGGCCCGTGAAATAAGTTTCGACCGTTAATCGCTCGAGTGTTCGAAATGGGATGGACGGGAATCCGGGACGAAGGCTCTCCCGTGGTTTCCGTCGGGTCATCTCGGACGTACGAGCGTACGAACGAGAGGAAAACGGCGCGAAAAAAACTCACTCCGCTGAGGTTGTAAATCGGAATATAGCCTACTTAAGCTTTTCGGTCTCCTTTTTATGGCTCTCTCCCGGCAACTTGCCGACATTCTATATAGGCTTTTCTTCGTTTTATTTATGGACTCCGAATTCATGATTAGAATCGGGTTCCAATGGGAAGAAAGTAAAAGGAAACTGAAGAAGTGAATGGGGGTTCTGGCTCCGCCCTACCGTCAACCCCCTGATTTCCTTTAGCCTACCGGGACCCCCCGTATTTGGATTTTTTAAAGAGAATATCCTGGACGTGCTGGTGCCTTTCCGATCTTTTCTTTCGGTTCGTTCTTGAAAGGTGTACAAGTATCTAATGACATCCGGAATGAAAGGAACAGCGGGACGGGACTCCGCTGAGACTGCGATGGGGGCGGGGGGTGGGGGTGGGGGGGGCGGGGTGGGGGGGTGGGGGGGAGGGGACGGGAGGAGAGGCGCATAAAAACGTGGAGAGAAGGATTGTTTTCGCGATTGTCCCAGCTGTAAAGGGGAAAGATGAAACAGGAATCGCTCTATCTTCCTCTAATCTAATTTTCCTCCGTCTCCCTTTTTCCTCTCCGGCTGATGACGCTCTTAATTTCTCATCGATGCATTCGACTTTCCTCCCTGCGTATTCCTAAGCGTTAACGTCCGTATACGCTCGAGAAGGAGAGGGATTTTCGCAGGACGAGCGACACCGAAGCTCGGGAGACCCGCAGCTAAAATGCTCACGGCCCGTCGCGAAAGGATACGCTTTTACGCGTCGCAAGGGATTCTGTCAGCAGAAGTGACTCCAAGCGAATAGGAGATTTCGGCGCGGGATTAAACTGCGACTTCTTGCGAGATTCCAGTTACCGTTCGTTTCATTCCAAACTAAATCGGCATCGTCGCGGGACCACAAATATATTATAAAAACTGGCAAGTTTGGGTCCTCGGGAACAAAAAAGACAAAGCTTTCGTATCCTATCGTTGCGCCCCGATAGAATCGGCTTAAATAAAACTGCAAGCCCCAAGGATCCATGTTCGGCGATTCTGGGATGTACTCTTCTGTATCCTTTCGCCATTAACTTTCGTTTCGCCACCAGATTACTACTCGAGGAGCTAAAGTTAGGAAAATCGTACTGCTAAAGGAAGAGGAAGAGAGTAGGAACAAAAAGCATCCGCGGAAACGATTCTTCTGTGTCCACGAAGTCCCACTTTCACTGCCTTCTCTTCCGAGAAGGAACAACATTCATCCTGGACTCAAATGCGGTCATAATTTCCTCTCGAAATCGTGCAATCGTGCATTGAAAGTGAAACGCGAGAGCAAAGTGCACTCACGTAGTCCAGATGTAGGACAGTTTTTGATCGAACGCCTGGAGGAATCGAAATGGCACGAATCAGGAGTTCCCCCCCAACTTCCAATTTTTTTTCCAAGGCTTTCGAGACTGGCGATCGTTGACTGCCATCTCTTCTCTGCCGAAAAGTCATTTCATGATGGCTTTGTGACATAGATGTCGCCCCGGTACAGAGCGATTTCAAGCGTAGAGAATATAGATCCGAGGGCGGATTCGACGAGAGAGATCGTGTGATGAGGTACATCTGCCCGATGACTTCTTGGATTCGACCGTCTCGTCTGGCATCTGTTCGGCGACGCTGAAATCATATGTCTGCCTTATAGACCTTTCAGACTTTCTCGACTAGTCGAGATCGTCAGACTCGAAATGGCGACGAACAGTAGCTGCAGTCCTACACGGGACGACTTTTCGGAATTCGGTCCGATCGACCGGCACCGAAACTTGGCCTGCGCCGGATCGGATATTCGATTGCAACGACGAAGGTGACACGATGGTGAGCATTGGTCAGGTTGAGATGAATCGGGTCCTCCCAAAAGTACTGTACAGTTACAGACATAACGTAAACATAAACCGAAAGGATGAAAATTTGCATGGAGGATCCTCCATCCCGAGAGTCCCAGTGCAATAAGGATCTCGATAACCATATTGTACTGTGATTGCATAGAAGGTGCTGTCGGACATTAAAATCTCATGTCTTAGTGTAAATCCGTTCGTGCGATGCAACCCAGAGCATCGTCGTTCTCGCTTTCTGCCTACACGCACAAAACAGGTTTGAGGTGGGTGGTAGCCTCTGCAATGAATGGGATGAGCAAGAAGGGCTTCCATGCAGCTGATATGCTTGCCATGTAGGATAGGGCTTTGCCCAGCTTCTTATAGTTCTTTCTTCTTACATGTCCCTCCTCGGCACCAACCACAGCCAATTTCACCTCCTTGCACACCGCCTTGGGATGAGGCCATGGCGTATTGATGTGTTTCTAAAATTCCATCCATCTATCTGGTAGACCTACGAAATTATTGCTGATCCTAATGTTCTCTCAATGTCTTGTCTCAAGTTAATATTAATGCTGAAAATCGTAGTCCCGTTGGCTCTTGGTTCACTTGTCATGTATTCTTTCCTCTCGGTATGTCCATGTTCTTTAGCCAACTGCTATCAGCTGAGTCATTGTATATATGATAATTAAGAAAGGTTTTGGTCTTAGTGACGTAACTTTAACGCAATCCCTCGTCCCAGTCTTGGCCTTCCTTTACATTCCTTGTTCATTAAGCCAGTCTCATTCTCACGAAGTGTATGCATAAACCAGATTCCAGTTCCGATACAGACTATCCATGATTGAGCACAGACCGGCACTCGAATAGGAAAACAAAGAAAAAATCGCGGGTAGGGTCGGAATAGCCAATTGGGCCAACCAACAGTCCGTGTAGGACTCCAAAAAGAGGAATTCATGAATGGCTGAGAAGCCATTCATTCCCAGCGGAGCATGACCGTGTCTGGATGAAAATTTAAATTCCGAACTTTTGAACTTTAATTGGGGTTGATAACATTGTATGCTTGCGAGAAATACAAAACTGCACTTTCTATACACCCATGAGGCGAGGAAAGAGGAACAGGAGACAAGAAGTTGGGTAGTGCGCAACACTGATCTAGTGGTGGCTGCCCCCTGATTCCACGTAGTTCTATTCAAGGTGGATAACTGCTCTGGCGTGACTGATATTGATACGTCATGTCGGTGAAAACACTGACAGGCTAGCGTGTGGACGATTGTGTGCCTGCAACCTAGTTTCTTGTCGCTTGGGATTTAGGACAGTGGTGGATTGGAGTGCTCTTTCTTCTACAGGTAGATCCAAACTTACAGTATAGTCCATTCACCCAGAGATCTCTCTCTTTAAACTTTAACCACTACCCCACAGCCCGCTGTTGCCTTTTGCTGATATTGTGCTGTATTTTCAGACCTGTTCTCCAAACTTGTTACATTTTGGCGTCATGCAAGAATTGCTAAACCCTCTCATTGAGAGTAAAAAACGTTTCACAAGAAATGCAAAAAGCAAAATCCCAGTATTGCATATACCCATAGAACATAGGCTTTGGTATAGAAGTGAACTTTGAGTTAAATCACGTTTCATTCAGAACAAGCAGTTGAGTCAAAAATGTTTTTGATGAATACAGAGTGATTCCCAGGGTAGAATGAACAAGGGTTTATTTAACAGTGAAGTATAATTCCTAGGTGAAATAGAGTTAGGTTGACCTGAAGGGTGAGTTTTAGCAATTCTATACAAATGACCCTCAGTAGTAGTTGTGAGACTGGATAACAATTGCTGAGGTGAGACTTGGTCACCCAGGGTTATATGCAGAGATCAGAAAAGATTGTAAAAGGTTTCAAATGTAGCATTATGGTAATTGCAGCTTTTTAGATTAGGTAGAATTTTTCACTGTACAGAGGAAGGCTACTCTCTCTCATGGGCACATCTACATAAAATTACATAAAAAGCAGACATATTTAGCTTAAAATTTCTAAATGCTTATTATACAGTGACTGACCTAGAAAAGTCATCTGACCCATCACTTTGACTACTAGTCATTGGAGGCAACCATCCTCCCTGTGAGTAGATTGTCAAAGCATGAGATAAGATAATTAGAACAGTCTTTGATTTGTCCTCCCTTCCTCCAGTCACTCAAAGATACTGCACATCTCCTTTGCTCCATGAGATCAAGTAACATCATTTGTTTAGTTAATTTTGCTCTCCTTGTACCCTTCATGAATGTTCTAATTAATGTCTAGTTTTCAGCAATGGCTGTCATTCATTCAGACTCACAGGTCATTCACTCACTCCATTGATTATTTTAAAAAAACTTGCCTTTTAATTTGGAGGGAAGTTATGTTAGATTTTTTTCCCCCTACACTTGACTGTAGCACAGGTATGACATAATTGTATTTCTCCCATTACTTAGTGGCAATATTTACTGTTGAAGTTTTTTTTCCTAGGCCTCTTCTAGGTTTGGCATATTCATAAAATATTCCATTACCCTTTATATATTCAAAGCAGAAATGACTATTTTGTTTGATCAAATGTTGCAGGTTGCCTCTGAAGTGTCAGAAGGTTCTATAACAAGGATTTACACTTGGAAATGGGTGTTAAACAAAAGGATAAGATGCTATGGGTGATCAGTATGGTTCTATCTATGCTGATGCTTGTAAATGGCTATCCCAGGATATCGGAACATGAAATTAAAACACAGAAAAAGAATCTTACGATTGACATCCTAATGCCTGGTGCACATCCAAGTGAGGTCAGTTTCCAGATCTTTTTCTGAGTCATTTTCCAGAGCTCTACAAGTTGGCAGTCAGTTATACACATCAATTTTTTTTTCTTTCAGGAAGATTCATACATATGCACATCCTGGCTCTCTGAAATGGAAGACACTGTTTATATAACAAAGTTTGAACCCCTTGCCAGTGCTGATGTTGTACACCACATGCTTGTCTTCCTCTGTTCAGATGCTAAAAGCCCTGGAACAAAATGGTACTAGGCACCCCATATAAATTTACAAGATTCTCATTAAACAATACATGCTTGCTAATCTTAGGTTTGGATTTCAGGGATTGTGGGCATCACCAGACCTGTGAAGAATCCAAAATTATGTTTGCCTGGGCTAAAAATGCCCCACCTCTCACCCTTCCTCCTGATGTTGGTTTCCGTGTAACCCCAGGGTCATACATCACTGTACAGATTCATTATGCCAAGGTGTTTTCATCAGCTGAGCCACCTGACAGCAGTGGCATTCGACTTCATGTCAGCTATGAAAAGTAAGAAAAGTACTATTCAAGAACCTGAATTGCTTTTAGGCCAATGTGATAAAAGTTTCAAAATGTATATCAACATTTTTAAAGTTATGTTTGTGATTGGAATCAGACTTCAAGATATTCTATTTGGTTTTAGTGTAGGCCTAGGTTTTGAAAGAAAGTTTTTATGTCTTCCCAGACCAAAAAACATTGCAGGGATCTACCTTATGGTGGCTTCAGACATCCGAATCCCCCCCAACAAAGAGAGTGAGGACTGGTTTATTGATTTCAGGCTTCAGTATAAAAGTTTCAAAATCTGATAATTTTTGGGTACCATTGCAGTTGTGCATTCAGACGTCAACTGCTTCTCTGAGTCGACAGATGCCCCTATTTATGTGTTTGGCTATCGCACTCATGCCCATGTTCTTGGGAAGGTCATCACAGGTTATCTGTACAATGCCACTGTAAGTTTCATCAATCTGGCAAATGGCAGTACTTTAATGTTGACATAATAGTGATAATGATTTTTGGATCATCCTAGGCACATGAGTTTCGGGAATTTGCTCGTGGAAATCCTCAATGGCCACAGGCCTTTTATCCTGTCAGTAAGCCCCTCAAAATCACTTCTGAGGATGTGATAGTTGCTCGATGTACCTACAGCTCTGTTGGCCGAAACCGCTGGACCTATGTTGGTCTGTTGATTGTCTACTGTTCAATTGTGCATTCCCAGATATAAAAACAGGAGTATTAATCTTCAGCATGACCTCTTGCTCTTTCTTCAGGCATGACCCACAATGATGAGATGTGCAATCTATATCTGATGTACTACACGGATGCCATAAGAGGAGAACCTTTCTTTCGTTGCATGGACCAACAGATCGCGCTTGCCAAACCCATTCCAGCTGATTCAGACACCCCTCCTCCTGATAATCCAAACTTTGAGGAGCTTGCAAAGGGGAAGAATCTTGGGCAAGTTCAGGTGAACATTCATCATTCTTTGATCAATCTACAACATTGGAAGTTGGGGAAATCACATTTTCTCATTTGCCTCAGCCCAGATTTTAGAGGATTTCTTAGATTTGTGCAACTGTGAAAAATTGTAGAATTTAATGACTAAGGATTAGCTTATGCTAATGAGCATTTACTACTTTTTTCAATATGGTAATTTTCAATTTTCAAAGCCATTTTTAAACCTTTAGGACAATTGCCTGAACTTTTTGACATACCTGTATCAAAATGGAATATCCCAATTTAATTGCTACCTTGCAGTAGACCTTTACAAAATGCTAACATTGATGTCTATATTTTCTTGAACTTTTACCAAAACATGAAGGTAATTGTCAGACTTCCTACCTTACACGTTACAAACATTCAACCTTACTATTCAGGTCTTGCAGTGTTTTTTTTTTTTCCATAAATGATCAACTTTTATGCAGGGAAATGTGCCAAACTGATAATTGGACAGGAATCCACAATTAATTGAAGCAATGCTGCATGCTTTCAAGGAAGGGCACTATTTAAACACCAATACTTTGTTTCCCTCATATTTGCAAATGCAACTTATGTTTTTATATTATAAGAAAATAAGGAAAGGAAAGAAAACCAGCAGAGGCAATAATAGCCCATATACTAAGGAAAGGAAACCTTCAAAACTTTGTCTATCTTCTTGCTAAAAGGCAGGAGGAACTCTTGACTTTTGATGTAATTTGTGTAGTAAAGAGTAAATAAGTCACAGTTGCTGGATTCTCACAGCTAAGAGGCTGAGAGGTCTCATGGGGAACAGAAGTTACATTTACCATGTATGAAGTGACCACCAACACATTGGAGACAGATTCAGTTTTGGTGTCTGTTGGTACACAGCTAGGAACTGAAGGATGCTATGTGAATGGTGTGTGAAGGTAGTCAAGCAAACCTAGACCTATACCAAAATTTGCACCCAAAATCGATTGTATGTGCACCTGGCAAAATGTTCCTGTTTGTATTTTTTAAATTAAGAATAGGTAGCCTCTCCATTTATTCATACATATTCCCATTTGTGAGACCTTCCTTACTCCTGGTACAGAAAAAAATCCTGTTGATACCCTCACTTTATAGGCATACACATATGCTATGGAGAATGAGCGAGGATCAGAGAGCACTTCACAAGCACCCTCTCTTCTGTACAACTACTACAAGGAGGAGCCTCGCCAAGGGAGGGACTTTGACAACCGGAATGGTGGGTCACCCTTGAAATATCTGTTCTGTACATCTTTATGTTCAACTTGGATGTTTCTGCATTGGATTATAGGCTATATATTTTTTATCTTTTTCAGGTTATCGTGAAGTTAAAGGATGGGCAAACTTTGGCATTGAGTTGGGGCAGGTGACTGCTGTGTCCTTGGATCCTCTTGGAAGAGTGGTTCTCTTCCACAGAGGAGATCGTGTCTGGGACGGGACAACCTTTGACCTCCGGAACCGCTTGCGGAATGCCAACAGGGGTCCCATCTCTTCCGACACCATCTTAATCCTTCAACCTAGTGATGGACATCTCCTGGAATCTTGGGGCAAAGACAAGTAAGCTTCTTTCTCAAAATGGCAAAGTATTGGTTCATGATAATTTTCTCCATTCTTGTGGTTCTCATTGGATAGATTCTACCTGCCACATGGCCTGGTGATTGACCAGTCAGGGAACTATTGGCTCACTGATGTTGGGATGCATCAAATTTTCAAGTACTCTCCTAAGGGAGATATTCTCCTCACTCTGGGTGAGAAGTTGGTTCCAGGAGGGGATCGGGACCATTTCTGCAAGCCGACTGATGTTGCTGTCCTTAAGGATGGGACATTCTTTGTCTCTGATGGCTACTGTAATCGTCGTGTGATCAAATACAGTCCTGGAGGTCAGAGGATCATGGAAATTGGTCGTGCAGGCTCTGATGCTGGAGGTGAAGACTCCTCCTCTTTTTTCTTGTGGAATTTGGCTATTGCCATCAATCTTGCTTTCTCTTGTCCTGTTTTCTTGTCTCAGTGGTTATAGATAATATTATTTGAGTATTTTTTTCAGAGCATTTTGAAGAGTTGTGTGTTGAAACCCCTAAGCTTGTCAGTGCTGGTTATATTCTATGTTTATTCTTCTACTTCTAAACTGACATTCCAGATCTCTTTCATCTAAACTTCTTGAGATTGTTTGACATGGAAAATGAGATTTCTTTGGTGTTTTTTTCCAATGCAGGTTTCTTGGCAGGACTGTTTCGTAATCCAGGTCCTACAGACTTCCTCATCCCCCACAATTTGGCCATGGACCATGGAAGGGGAATTCTATTTGTGGCTGATAGAGAGCATGGTCGCATTGAGGCATTCACTACAAACAATATGACTGCCATTGGCAGCATCTCTTTCCCTGAAGCTGCTGGCAAGGTTTATGCTGTTGATTTCCTCCCCCAATTCGGTGAGCCCCATAAAGCTTCCTGTAGATCAGGAGATATGTATATATGGTTTATATACATCCCTCAGTCAACAAACTTATCCTTTCTTTGGAATTTGTAGGATTTAAGATTATATTGCTGGGGACTAGAAAATCTTATTGGAATAATCATGTAATTCAACATTTTTTCTTATTCCTCATCCCCAAAACCCATATTACAGTCGTGTAACTAAATAATTTATATGCCTCCTTTTCCAAAGCCTTTGATTTCACTAAGTTTTGGTGTTCTCTATTATTGAGCCAGAGTTAGCAGAGCCAAATTTGTATTTTCTTATAGCACAAACAGGCTCAATAGCAAAACTACTAAACCTTTTTAGACAAATTAGGCACTGATCAAATTACTTTGCTTTTACATGGTTTCTCTAATCAATGGTGAGTGGCAAGCCAGTGTTAGCAATAGCAAAAATAATATATTGCGAGCCTCTGAGTTATTCTGAACAAGTTTCGGAAATACTTAAGAGTGTGTAAAATAAACAATAAAAGCATGCTCTTATATGTTGAGAGAGGAACTGGCAAACCAGATCCAAGAATGAAAGTGGAGATCGCAATTTCCCTCATCCTTGCAACCCCTTATCTTAGATCAAGGGTGCATGCAGTGGATGTTCACTAAGGCACTCTGTATGCTGTATGCAGCCCACAGGCTGCACTTTTATGCACCCCTGACCTGGACCATGTGGTATGCCTGAGAAAATCTAGGCTTTTCCCCCATATTGTTGCTGCACCTTCCAGGTTCCCCTCCCCAATTAGGAAAATACTGGGTGAAGCAAGAAGAAAATATGCCACTCTTATATGATGTTTGAGGTACCAGATAGCAAAACGAAATTTTTTCTTATTACTTCTATCTATAAGCTCTTTAAAATCTTTGTCCATTCATCTCCAGTCATTTTATCACTTGAATGATTTTATGAATGCAACTGGAAGCCACAAAATTATTTTAAAGTTTAATCCATGAAAACCTTATAAATTATACAGAAAAGTAAAAGTACCTCTCTCTGTCCAACACAAAAGTCCCTCATGGATTTTCAGCCATTTATTTTCAAACTGATGAAAGTACAGTTATGTAAGCTTTGTTCCACTTGGTAAACCAAGAAGTTTCTTCCTGAACAACCGTCAAGACAAGTTATCTCAGTTCAACATGGCCATCCCTCCTCCTCATAGCATTTTATTATTAGCATTAGCATCATTGCACTTTCCACTTTCACAGAAAGCTTTCTGGTTATTAAAAATGTCAATTTTTCTTCAGTTGTTTACCTCATGAGCAACTTAACTGAAGCAATTTGCATTTTATTTTTGCAAAAAATTTACACCATGGGCCTGCATAGTGCACTCACCTTTGAGCCTGTGGCATTGACTTGAAATTTTTTTTTATGCCTTTTCTTTTTCTGTACTTCAGAATCTGCTGAATAGGTCTCTGATTTGCTCTGAATTCACTGCTGTGACTAGTGTCCCTGGAATATCATCTTGAGGAACAATAGCTTCTGTATGAGTAGTATTTTTCAGTCTGAGTTGATTTTGGTCTTCTGGTTCCTCTCTTCTGGTTTCTCATGACTTGTCAATCAATCTGTGCACAGTACATTTCCTTCATCATTTGACTGGAAATTCTTCACTGCCTTTTGAACCATGAAGAAAGCAAATCAAACCATATAAATTGTAGCATAATAGATGAAGTATCTCTTTGGAACCAAAAGATGTTGCCTTGAAGCTCTGTTGGCAGTTTTGTCTTTTGAATAAGAGTGTTTGTCTTCTATGTAAGTAAAATACCAACATTAGATCCTCATTCCATTATGCTATCATTTTAACCTCAACCAGAACTGTGTTCTGTGTTTAATGATTGGGGGCCTTTATAGATGTCTCCTGACATCAGTCTCAACTTATAGTAGAATGACTTTTTTGCCTTGTATCTCTTCATGTTGCTGAATGATACAAAAATTGGTCTTGATATATGTTCCTCTTCTAGGTGGACTGTTGTTTGCTGTCAATGGTCCAAATGTGTTCCGCCCGATGAAGGCATTTGTGATTCGTCCTCGTGACAGTAAGGTGCTGGCCTCATTTGCACCAGATAAGGGGAGTCTTGCAGGTCCCCATGACATATGTGTCTCTCCTGATGGCACTTCTGTCTATGTGGCAGAGATCCAGTCTCCCCAAGTCTGGAAGTTTTCTTTAGGTTTGTATATCCTCCAGTCTTTCTTTCATTATTCAAACTAGAGACTTTCTTGTATCTGATTGGAAAGAAAGTTCTCGGAATTTCTTGAATATCCAGTACAATTTTTTTCCAGAGCATGCTAGAATGTTCTGCGTGTGTTTATAAGTAGGTCGTGTCCTTCGGCATACAACCGTATATTATTACAGCCCTGGTGCTCTCCAGCCATGAACCAGCCCTACCCTCTTACTAAGGAGCAAGTTCGCCTGCTTCTTCTTTATGACTTCCGAATCGAGAAGAAGGCAGCCAATTCCATCGC